AAGGCACTATTAACATAGTTGGACTTTCATTTTTCCTTTATCCTGTTATAGCTAAAGACAGTTGCTCCCTCTCTTTTTGCTAGCTTCTCACAGAATAGCATCACCTACCACTCTTCATGGTAGTAAAGACAAAATCAGGAGGAGAAGAAGAAAAACTGGAAAGAAATCTGAACTTTCCATGCATAACTATAACCCAACCAAATACTCAATAGGAGAATAACCAAATTGATTTCACTCCCCTGATACACCGCCCATCAGAATAGAATACAAATACAAATATTTCATGCACTAAAAAGACAAAGCGAGCAGTTAAAGTATACGATACAAAGAAAACAGCAAACTATCACAGCATTCAACATTTAGTTAACAACTAAAACAGGACTTACATCAGCTTTAGAGTCTACCACAATACCAAGAACAGTATCTTCCACGCAAGGCACATACTGTATAGAGAAACCACGAAATCATAACTGTGATACTGAAAATAATGGGCACAATAATCAAAAAGCTTTCACTGGAACTGTAGAATTACACAAGCATGGAACTAACCCTTTTTTGAGAACTTTCAACCCAGTACTTATTTGGTTTCGAGAATCTAAGTGTTCCAGCCTTCATCACAGAATAGCATCACAATCCTGGGGGAAAAAAGAAATTCATCCACTTTTCATTATCATCTATTAAAACTTTTAAAGATCAGACAAAAAAATATACAAGGATCATGAGAGAAACAGACAGACCTGACGGATACCACCACCTAGCTTGATGGTCTGGTTGGTCATGGAGGAGAGGTCAAGCACCACATCCCCTGGAACCTAATACACCACAGTTAGAATTGGATAAACAATAAAAAAATAAAAAACATGCAGGGAAGAAAAATGAAGAAATAGAGAAAATCATAACTTACTACAGTCGAATCAATGAAGCTTGCCGGCGAACAGGACTTTTTATTTACCATTGAGAATTATTTTTTTCTTATTTTGAAGCTGTCGGTTCAGCTGTGGGTGGAGCAACCGAGCAAATCAAACCAAGAGCAACGGATGTAGCCGTGGGTGAACAGAGGCTGAGAGTGGGAGGGGCTGTCGGGCTGAGTGATCGAGTGATTAAGGGGCTAACGCCTATTTGCCTTCAATCCTCCTTTACAACTTTATTTTAGGGTTTAACATTTATTTCAGTATTTTATTTTTGCTATTTTTATTTCAACTTTTTTAAGTTTATTTTTTTAATAAATAAAATTTAAACGTTGTATTTGGGTTAAATTTACAAGTTTGTTATTAATGTTAGAAAATTTATATATATAAATTACGTAGATTTTTTATTTGGGTTAAAATTATATATATGAATTAGGTACTTTCATCAATCATCCTGTTAATTTCTCTATTAAATGTTAATAGATGATATGCATTATCATCTATAGCATTTTTTTTGTATTGTTTTCCTTTTCCTTATGATTTAATTTATTAATAAATAAATATAAATAAAAATCAATAACAATTTATTTTACAATTAAAGAAAATTTCAGACTTATAATAAATATAATATACTTGGTTTTATTAATTTTAAAGGTTTAAAACACAAATTAATCATTGTGTTTGATAAATTTAATCAATTTAGTCCTAATTTTTAGATCAAATTGACTTCTAATCTTTTTTAATTAATTAGTTCTAATGTTAGATTATAATTTATAATTGTGGAAACATATGTATAACGTACAATATTGTCATAAATATGATGCAAAATTAAGTGACCAATTATGTTACATGTGTCATAGATATTAAAGTATCATAGAGTTAAATAGAAACCATAAGTTATATTTAATTTGATGAGGTGCATAATTTTGAATACTTAATAGATTGACTTAATATTCATTCTATATAAAGAGGTAGTGGGAAATATGTTAATTTGTCTTACTTTTATCCCGTTAGATAGTTTTTACGATAAGATAAAACATATTTTCTTGGAAGATCACAACTTTTTTAAAGTAGAGTTTTGTATGTTTATTAGAACAACACATACAAAACGAGACAACGACAATGTCTAATTAAAAAAACCTCCTTAACTCTAGGTGGAGGAAAAGAGTGCAATATTACCCTTCTAAGGGATCGTCCGACTAAACACCCACACTCTAGCTCAAATTAGAAATTAAATAACACTAGACTTCAAGTACATGCAGGCAACATTACTACTAAGACTTCATATACCAGCATCATGAACAGGACTGTATCCACTCCAAGGCTAATGACGAAAACAACTCAGAGCTCTTTCAACAAACCTGAAGCTCCAAATCCAGAGAGCAATCTGCATCTCACACCACCATCAGGATGAAAAATGATGTATATTAGGCACCCCAACCACACATACATTCGCTCCAACTAGCAACGAACAAAAACAAACAACAGAAATCCACTACAAGACAGTACCAGAACAATCGGCTGGAAACAATGCAAATTAACATTTAGCACCGGTTCATCGAATCATGACAAAACGAAAACTTTACTCCAAACCAGTCAACGAAGCAACAAAAAACCTGAGAAGCATGCATGGACAACCCCTGATGAAGCAGCTATACATACTGATCATACCAGCTAGGAAGTCGGTCCCGCCTCATTTACTAACTGCCAAAACAACGGTGAAGTTCTTCTAATACCCTCTTTAGCTAGATTATGAGCTTCTATATTCCTCTCTTTGTGCACAAAGTTAATGGACCAAGAATAGCGCTCACACAAAAAATTGCATCTGCTGGCTAAGGCAGTAAGATGGGGGAGATAATCTCGGATTGTTGGACCAACATACAACAGAAAGGCTGTCAGAGTCAATTATCAGCTTACTTTGATGATCCTGTGCTGATGCAGTGCAGACATAATCTCGCAAGCTTCTAAGATAGCAGTAAATTTTAAACAACTAAAGAAAAATTTAAAGATTCAACATATCAATCAATTCAGATATATATACGTATCTAATATTTTTTATTGATGATTTAACCTAATTAAATATTGAATTATTAATTTCATATCAATTCCATCTAGACCTAATAAATTTGGTTAAGTTAACCTTGGACATTTCGTAGCGGCTTATTAAATCCAAGGTCAATTTGTCAAAACTTTTCGTCAAATTAGTCTTGGATATTTTGTAATGATTTATTAAATCTAGGATTTATTTGGTTAGATTATCAAGTTTACAAGTTTAATTGACCTCAAAAATAATTTAATGATTAATTTAATTAAAATATCGAATTTAAAAACTAATTCAACTTAATTAAGATTGTTAATTAAATGTAACAAATTAAGAATATTTTATGATTTATGCTCTTATAAAACTATTATTAATTTTAATGGGCGGCTACTTTTTCGTCCGCTGCTTTTTCTTTGGTTAATTATTGGGTAAACTACATGTTCAATGCCTAAACTATACTTTTGTTTCATTTTGATACCTAAATTTTATGTTTTTCAAAATATACCTAAAGTTTAGTTCATATTTTATTTGATACTTATCATTAAAAACTTAACATTAATGTTGATATGTCATTATAAGATGATGTCACGTCATCATTAAATAAAATAAAAATATCACGTAAGCAGTTCTGTTAAGTTTTTAATGGCATGATACTAAAATGAAACTTAAACTAAACATTATGTATGATTTAAAAAATTAAAATTTGGGTACAAAAATGAAACAAAAGTAATAGTTATGTACTAAGTGTATAGTTTACCCTGATATTTTATAAACAAATACATAAGATATAATAACTTAAATTAACTTATAAAAACAATTTATTAAACATTAATTATAATGATTTGAAAACAAGAATATAATCAATAATTTGAGCGAATAATCTTTAAACTTATATTAAATGATAGCGTAGGGCCAATTTGTTTCGTCTGAAGTTTCTCCTAACGAATTTTTTTTTTTTTTTTTTTGAAGGAACTCCTAACGAATCTTTCATTGAATACAAGAAGGTAGGAAACATATTGGAAATTATGAGTTTTCAGATTTTTTATAAGGTTGTGTTACTATGTGCCGAATACTTTTTCTTCCCTACAAGAAGGTACCCATATTGACTTTCTTCAACTTGATTGTCCCTAACTGCACTTATTTATATCAGACTTCCAATTTTCAAATTTATCTTAAATGATCCAAATCAACTTGTTGATGCTACTTAGTGGGCCGTTTAAATATTTATTTATTTATTTACTTCAATTCTGATTTAGTATATTTTTTAAAATTTAATTTAATTCAATATGATAATCTTAAGAATTATTTATTTTTTACTGATAAAAGCTAAATTGATTGATCAACTGTTCCAGTCTTCATATTGAAGTTTATATCATGAAAAAAGATCTTAATAAATCGTCAATAAATCAAAAATTGTGGAATGTTATATTATAACAGATTTGATGGTTGATTTTTTTAATTTGAGTAAAGAGTCGTGATCGATAATTTTGTAAAGAGATAGGAAAGGATAAATAAACCGAATATAACGGTAAATAATTGTTAAAAGAGAGAAATGTATAGAAGATTTTACTTTTTGTTTCTCGATTAACAACCGTTAAGAGAAAAAATGTATAAATGAATTGTTTTTTTTGACTTCCTTCGTATATTTTTTCTTGGCGATTGTTCACCATATATTCAATTTATTTGATCCTATCTGATTTCTTAATAAAATTATCAATCACAATTCCTCACCAAATTAAAAAGAATAATCATCAAAATTTACTGTAATATAAATTTTCATCATAAATAAAACATAAACAACATTATAAGTGTTGATTATCTCCCATTTGTTTTGTTTAGTTAGGACATGTAACAATTTAAAAAAATAAGGCAATAACTTGCGAAAAAACAAACGAGCAAGCAAAAGCTAAAAGCATGGTCGGTAAAAGCTTGACCGAAAGAGTGGCATTCCATGTAATTTCAATAAAAAGTGAAGTCTATTATTGAGAACTGAAACGTATATCCATGTATAAAAGACAGACTTGATGAATTCATTACGTGCAGGTTAGTGTTTTCCATAAAGAAAATTCCAATTCGGTGGCTTTCTAAGAAGTCTGCTGTGAGAGCTCAATCAATCCCGCAATTTAAATTTCTACAACTTCGGGAAAATCAGCTTTGTTTTTTCATTTTTTGGTGTCAAGCATGGAAGATCGTAAGGAGGTGAGTCCTTTTCCCTTTTTTCTGGGAAAATTTCTATAATTTCTCGATACATTTTTTATCTAGTTTCTCTTATAATATATTATATATATATATATATATATATTCTGTGTTTTATTAATTTATATATTTTTAGTGAAGCGCTTCCTTGTTAAGAAAAACTAGTTGTCATGAATTAAAGTTGAATTGATTTGGGTTAAACTTGAATTAGAAAAATGGAGCATGGCTATCAGTGCCACAATTTGGGGACTGGGAGCAGAAAGGGCAGGTGCCGGATTACTCGCTTGACTTCTCAAAAGATAAGGGAAACGAGGAAGCAAAACAAGAGGGAAGTTTCAAGAGCCAGTCTTGGAAACGAAGAAGAATTTATTAACCCCACTGCCACCGCTGCCCTACCGCCCATGATCCTCACCATTACCCTCCTCAAACCATCACACCCCTACTGTAAGATTCCAACCACTAACTTCCCAACTGCATTTTGTATTACCTTTTCTTCGTATAATAAAACATTTGAAGGATTTACGAGCGAGTAAAACTCGATTCAACTCAATTTTTTTAAATTATTAGCTATTTAAATTGAATTATATACAAATTAATTTTTATTCGAATTTTGAGTTTGAATCAAATAAAATTATTAGTTTAGAGTTCGAGCCGAGTTTGAATAATTAAAAAATAAAAATTTAAAATGAAGTTTAGTTATGTGAAAGAGATGACTATCCAGCTCAGTTGGTAGAGCACAGGTTCTTAACCTTGAGGTCGTGAGATCGAGTCTCACGGAGGGCATTTCATAATTCGGAGTATTCTACGGAAGTTGCTCTCAACCTGGTGTTGGGGGCAGCCTATTATCTTACCTCCCCTTACCCCATTACATATGGGAACAAGGAACAACCATTTAGTTATGTGAAAATTCTTAGCTATTATATGTGAAAAAATATGAAAAAATATACATGTTTATAGTATTTTAAATCAATTTTTAAAAATTCTTAGCTATTTAACCATTCAAATCAATTTTTTTTCGTCTTCATTTGAATTAGAATAAACCAATAATTAATTATATTTGGATTTGAACAAAAACTCAAATTAGTATAATCCATTCTATTCGAATTTTATAAACTCAACTAAAAAAGTCTTTTAAAAAATTATATGATAAAATAGTAGTCATAATTCGGTTAACGCAAATTGTTTACTCAACATGAATACTCACCCTAGACAGATCCTCTAATATAACTTAGGAGTAAGTTAATCTAGTAATTTCGTCCAAATTACAAATGGCAAATGTCAAAAGAAAATTGCATTCATCAAGTATACTTATCTTTTCATGAACGTTTATCTTACAACGAATTCTAAATATAGCTTAAATCTAGTTTTGGTAGGTAGCTTTAAATAAGGAGGACAGTGTCATAAGAAAAAGAATATAAAGCTGTAGACTTTGGTGGCATATGCATGTGCTGGGGAAAGTTGCTTAGTTCGATCATTTTTTCTCTTTGTTATGCTAGCAAAGTGGGTAGCTTTTAATCGTTTTCATATAGCTTGGCCCTCGATAAAACCCCATAACCTTTCATTGAAACATCATGCAAATTGGATTAACTCATCCCAGATCTGGTTCCTGCCGAATCACATGACATTGTCACTATGTTAAATTGAGTCAGATGATTACCCATGTTACACAATTTCTCTAGGTCACACGCAGGATGTATCAAGATGATAGTCGAAAAAATCATTCCCTTGGAAATTTCAAATTATCATATATTTTAGATATTTTATTGATAATATTTTTTTGTTTTTTAATTATATAAATTTATCTTTCTTAAAATTTTAGAAAAATTTTACTAACATAAAATACTACATCCGTTCATAATTATGGATAGTACAAGGTGTGCACGTGAAGTATTGTTTTGCTATGATGTAGTTTATGTTCCATGGCGGTGGACACTTTGGCTTATTCTCTGTTACAATGAATTTATTCCTTTTCAAAGGGAAAGAATGGGGAAAAATATTTTGACAACTTGTGCTCAGTTACAGACTAATATTATCTCTATTATTATTGTGGACAGTATTCTGTTGTTGATTTAAGTAAATTGTTTTTATTGTAGAATTTTCTCTCTTAAATTACTATTGGTGCACTGATCCATCGATGCTGATGCATGTCCCACGTAAATATATTTACGTTAATTGCCTAATGATTTTGTTGACAGACGAAGAGGGGTATCTTCAGCTGCTTCAACTGCTGCATCAAGGCTTGGGTCTGATGAAATCGAAGAGAAATGTCAGTTTGTTTTGTATTTGATCCTAATATTATTTATGTTTCTACTCTCTGCTCATCGTTCTTCGTTTTATAGTAAGAATATTTATTAACTTAATAATATTTATATTATATTAAATGTACTTAAATAGATTTTATACATAGATGCTTATATTTACAAATGAGATATAATTTGGTCTGAAGATTATATATTGTGAAAGTGAAAATATTACGTAAAGAGAGAGTGAGTTATTTATATGGACAAATCTTATCATTTTATCCTATCTTCTCTCTTTTATTCATTATCAAAATTGAGAAAAAACCTCAAAGATCTCTTCGCCTAATAATTGATTATATTAACAAAAGGGGAAACATGTTACATAAATTAGGTTTCTACGTCATTAAAAATATTTTCCCTTCTAATATTTGATCATGAACCGAGAAGTGTGTTAAAACATGGGGGGAATGGAACTTCAAATTCAAAACCTTGGTTGCAGCCAAGGACTTAATCATGTTCTGGTTTGGGGTCGTTTTGTGCTTTGGAGGACACCAAAAAAGATTGAACCACCGACACCTATCCACAACACTCTCGGCTGAATAGAGTTCTTTGCCTATGAATGAGCAAATTTGTATAGCCAAATAAACTTAAAGAACCTTCCCTGGGGTTTCACCTGTAGTATTTATCGAATAACTTTGTAATGAAAGTTTTAATTTCTATACAATATTCTTTCTGATATCTTTGCTTAAATTTTATGGACAAGTTATCTAAACATCCAACACGCCATGTATAAGAACTTACAGTTTATAGCTTATTGGACGGATGCCCTTGACTTTAAGCTTCGTTTACATAATTTTCATAGATGTGGACCAAGTTAGACCCAAAACCTGCACAGAGGCGACTGAGTTCATTCTTCAGGCTTTCAACAAAATTGCAGCTTCAACATGGCTCTCCTAATGTAAGCAATCCAAAGTTCCAGAATTGAATGGCATCAAACGGAAATCTCGCAGCAAGAAAGTTCCGTAAACCTACAACTCACAAACAAGGGTGAGGTAATGTAAAAAATAATTCATAACTTACAATAGTTGAGGATTTTCATTCATCAAATAGCAAAAGGTTAAGTTGGTAACGATTATTTCCGTTTGTTGATTAATTTTTATTATTAATTACAAACATATTAATAAGATATCGACACGTGACATGTTATTAAATGATCACTTCATTAAACCATTAAAAATCAATAAAATGCAAAAAAAAAAAAAAAACCATGCAATAAAACAATTATTGGAAAAAAAATGAAAGAATATATATTTTTCAAAATAGAAACAAAAATATATATATCACAAAATGATATAATTAAGACAATATAAAACATTTAAAAATAAAAATATTCATAAAAATATATAAATTATTTAGAATGTATAGAGAAATATAGAAGTTCAACGGTATAAAACTTGTGCGCTGTGAAAAATTGAAATGAACAATAAGAAATGGAGTATTACGGTATAGAAAAATATAGAAGCATACCTCTCCTTCAGCTTTGAGCTGGATCCTAGTGCTAAGGTGAGCATGAAAACCAAATGTAGGATGATGGGAGCAGCCAACAGGAGTCCTCGCATGTGTTGTGCAACACAATCGTGCTCTTGCCTCCACTACGGCAGAAAAAGTTTGTAGCGGCATTTTAATTGACGTAAAAAAACGTTACTAATACAAACGTCGCACTGTAGTGACGTTTTATGTTGACAAATACCTCAAAAAGTTAGGTTATTTAGCGGGTGATATATTTAAAACGCCGTTAAATTTCATGATATATAGCAACGTTTTATCTGCAAAGGTCGTAACATTGGTTCTATAGCGGTGTTTTAGGCATAACGCCGCTTAATGTCGTGATATACAACAACGTTTTATTTTTGCAAATGCCGCAACAGGTTTGGTTATATTCTTCGGGATACACTTTTATTTTAAATCATTAAAAGCGAACCTCAAATCAGTTATGACTGCCCACTTCACAATTTTAAATTAAAAGGATATTACCCTTAGTTAAATTATGTAATATGTCGAGTTATGCTCGTGAGGATATCATGTAAATAATGCAAAGATAATGTCATGCAAATATTAATTAAATAAAGGGAATTAAATCCATGCTTTGAACCATGTAGTAACATATACACACAAATCACTAACATTCAAACCTAGGATAAGCATACACCCTAAACGAATCTTAACTAATCATACATGCATACACATAAGAAACTTAAACACGGACTAAAACTTAACATGTAAAAACTTGAACCTTAATGTCTAAATCAAAATAACCAACATTTATGACTAAATTAAATAAACATGAAATACAACGATCAATTAAAACACCATATTAGATTTAAAGACTAAAACGTCAATTAACCAAAAATTACATGCTAAATGCGAAAATAAACAGAAAAGAAAGAAAAATACACATATTGATGACTAAATAAAACTAACAAATATAAGATCAAATTAAAACTTGAAATTTTGATTTAGTGACTAGAATTAAATGTGCGAAAAAGATAAAGACCAAATTACAAAGAAACCAGGACTCGACTTCAGGATCAGAATGGACTTCAACAGCATATGCAGGGACCTCAAAGCGATTAGCCCTAAAACCTAATATAAAACTTACTTTAAACTAATCTAACCTAAGCTTATACTACCCCATCGTTTTCATCACCCTCTCCAACTTCCTAATTCTTTTCTTTATGCTAGAGAGAACACAAGCTTCTTCTTCCATGGCCGCCGACCTTCATCAAACCTCAAAACACACAACCATCGAATCGATGTAAACCTAAACTCAAAACCACTATCCTCTACTCCTATTTCCGACACTGCCATACCAGCCCTCATTCTCTACGCCGAAGAGATCAACGGCAACATCTTCGTGTAAGGTAGTAAACAACACCTTTTTCTATTTTCCTTAACTCCTAAACAAAAGGATTTCAAAATGCTCACTGATTTTATTTTCTGTTTTTTGAACCTAAATATGATTACTTACCTTCCACATTCTACCAAAAACACCATTCTCACCTCGATGGAACCCAAACGGTAACGAAATGGAGTCAACGAAACTCCACCAAATTTCGCATAACTCAGGTGATTTCTAATTCCTCTCTATTTTCTGTTTCTTCTCTTTATTAGTTTTGAACACATGCACACATAAAAATGGGAAAACGAAAACAAATCAAAAGAATACCTTGAATCTCAACTTGTATCTCTATTGCTTTCTCAGTTTTTGAATACAATGGTGAACTCATGCTACAATATTCTTTCCATTCGTCATTCGAAAAGTGAGTGGAAATCCCCTTTTGCTTACTCTGTTTTTTTTTTCTACACAAACGAGACCCTTGTTGTTGATAATCTCCCCCCTCGAAATGGTTGCCCATCCCTTGTTCCAAAAATCCCTCTCTTTTATTCTCCCTTTCCTTTCTGGCAGTTTTTTTTTCAATAAAAACCGACCCCACTCCATTTACAGTTTAGTATCTCACCCACGATCAAAAACTGCTTCTCACATTCCTGCTGGATATTCATTTATGTTTTGAAGGAACTCACGTGGACTGTAAGCTAGGATAACATGTTGTTTGGGCTGATTTGGGTTTTCCCTGGTCCAAATTTATATCGTGTACTAGATACGAAGCCCCCGGACAAAACCGATCTACAGCCCCTCTTACTCATTATCGTGTAACGAGAATAGAGCAAAGATCAAAAGATGATCGAGTTTGTCCGGTCATGAGACTTCAAAAGATTAAAACCGCTCCTCTGCTATTTCAGGATAAACGACTTGGAAAAATCTTCAAATGACGGTCTGCTCCCTATTCTTTCATGGAGTATAAGACTCGAACAATCTTCAGTAACGTGTCTGCTCCCTATTCTTCAGGGAGTATAAGACTCGAGTAATCTTCACTAAACGTGTCTGCTCCTATTCGTTCAGGGAGTATAAGACTCGAATAATCTTCAGTAAACGTGTCTGCTCCCTATTCGTTCAGGGAGTATAAGACTCCTTCAGAGATATAGACTCGAAAAATCTTCAATAAACAGGTCCGCTCCCTATTCATTCAGAGAGTATAGGACTCAATCTTCAACGAACTTGTCCGCTCCCTATTCTTTCAGAGAGTACAGGACTCAATCTTCAACGAACTTGTCCGCTCCCTATTCTTTCAGAGATATAGGACTCAATCTTCAACGAACTTGTCCGCTCCCTATTCTTTCAGAGAGTATAGGACTCAATCTTCAACGAACTTGTCCGCTCCTATTCTTTCAGAGAGTATAGGACTCTTCAACGAACTTGTCCGCTCCTATTCTTTCAGAGAGTATAGGACTCAATCTTCAACGAACTTGTCCGCTCCCTATTCTTTCAGAGAGTATAGGACTCAATCTCAACGAACTTGTCCGCTCCCTTCTTTCAGAGAGTATAGGACTCTTCAACGAACTAATTTGCTTCACTACTCTTTCGTGAAGGCTTATAGATGATTTGCTTCAAAGGTCAAACCTGAAAATCAAACATTATTCATCATGAATGTATATTTGAAAATATTATATTCAAAAATTTAGAATTTGATAAAATTTCTGAAAATCCATCTCCATCGCGAAAACTTGTCTGGAAACCATTGGATACGTGAATCTGCTTTAGCTCAGTTTTGGTATAAACATCACTCTTTTCAAAATCTCCAAACCAAATATCTTCATCCCGATGCTTCAATATCTTCAATCTTCAACTATCATTGGGAAACCTGCAAAATGCTTAAGTCATCATGCAATTATGAATGCCATGATCCTACTCATGCCTAAAATGTATGCAATATGCAATTCAATGCGTTTTCTTCTTTTAAGGAACTCTATCTCCTTTTGATCTCGATGGAACTCGGCTTCATCTTGGGCCCAGAACGTTTGACCAGTTCACCCCAGTTAACAATCTCAATTCCATATCTCTCGGCTTAACAGTACCTTGACTTATTTCTTTCTTGAAACCCGCCAGTATCCCTGACCAAC